CTGTCTTTTATAATGTTCTGTTTTAACAGAGAGAAAGCTCCAGGGAGAGAACAGGACCCTGAAAGTCCAAGGCCTGGAATTCCTCCTTTCTCTCTTTCCATTTTAAACAGGAAACATCCAGGCTAAGAGGGTCCGGAGGGAGCATTGGCTGTGTGTTCATTTTAAGGCAGATAATGTTTGTATGTTGCAAATGTCAGTGATTTATCCCAAGGGCTTAAAATGAGTGCAGAAAAACCACATGTTTCACTTCATGCAGAGAAATATCTTCAGTAGACTTTGAGAAAAAGCACAGGTTAAGGATTTTTTTTTTTTTTTAAGCATTTCGGAAATCTCTAACATGAACCAAAGGAAATAGAAATGAGAGCGGGAGTGGGAGGGGGGTGAAAATATTTTACAATAGAAGATATAATGAATCCTGGAACTCTCCTAAATCAGAAGTAAAATTCTAAAGGAAAGAGAAGATGAAATCCCGATCCTTAATTTCCCAGAGCTGAAGTGACGGATTATACATTTGTGCTCTATTTGTCATGGGTAATTTAAAATGGAGCAAAGCATACTGCACTGAATAATAGCAGTTGATGCTATAATAACTTGTACGTAAACAATTTAATTTTTTTATCTGAAAACTCTCACTAACTAAATTACCCCAAGCTCAGGGATCTATCTTTCATTATTATACATAGCCAAATTAAGACATAAAAACGTAGAGCGAGAATACTATTGTTCATCCTTATGAATGCGCTCACATGCTGCTTTCCACATGCTTGGCGCTTGGAGCTTGTCAAACCTTCATCGATTTGGGGAACTTACAGAGCTGTTTTAACATCAAACTCTGCAGATTACAGGGTGATTTGGACCCTCATTGATGGTGCTTGATTAACCACAGACATTCTATTCTTACAGCCCTGTCAGTTCTTTCAAGTGTTCTACCAGTTTGTGCTCTGACATTGGAGAGCTTTTCATTAATTACGATTGTTGCTGTTTTCTTTTTAAAAAAATAATAAAAGGGGGGTTGGTAAAATGTGGGAAGGATCTGGCGATGGTGGTGGTGAATATGTGCACAGAAGGTTTATGGGATTTTAAGAGCTGCAAACAGAACTCATCTGTTTAACCCCAGGCTAGATAAGATGCAGTCATCTGTACATTGTTTAGAGAAGTATTGCTTCTGTTATGGCAAATGGATCTGAAGATGCTTGTTGTCTTAGCACAAAGATTCAGACAGGGTCGCTTTCTGTTAGTGCTTATTCTTGCCCTGGACCTTCCTGTGTGCCTACTCCTTACAACGTGTAACACACAGCTGGTTTGGCTTTTCCCAGTCTGCTACTGGCCTGGTGGTGCTTCTTGTCTTTGTGGGAGAATTGCTTTATATCAAAGTTCTTTGTGGGTAATTCCTAGCTCTGGGTCAGGACTTTTTTCTAGGAACTATAGAGAAGGGAGGACACACTAATCCACACAGGGATGTGACAGAAGCCAACCAGAGGTGGACCAAGACTTTGGCTCCTGTACATTTCTGCCATCATCTGTAGGACAGGCTTCAGTGAGGCAGAGAAGGGGAGGGGTGGAATGAGCCCAACCTTAAGAGAGTCAAGTTCTGAAACTAGTTTGGCTACTATAATAAAGGCCAACGTAAGAGGGTATAAACAAGATAGAAGTAGGTTTCTCTTTCATGTACCAATCTGAGTGTAAGCAGTCCTGATTGGTATGGTGGCTCCATGGTGTCGAGGACCCAGGCTCTTGCCTTCTGTTGCTCTCCTTCCTCATCATGTGGCTTTCTCCTCGTGGTCTAAAATGGCCAATCCAGTGGCCAACAGGAAGGAGAGAAAGGAGGAAGGTTCCCTCTCTTCTTTTCAAGGGCACACATCACTTCCACTCACATTCCATTGGCCAGGCCTAGTCTGTGGCCACACCGGACTTCATGGGAGGCTGAGGAATGTGGTCTTTGGCAGGGCAGCCAGCTTAATGGCTGTTCATATGTGTCTGTTTTTCGCTTTCCAGGGGCGGACCAGCTGATCCTGTAGACTACCTGACGGCAGCACCTCGAGGACTCTACAAGGAGAGGGAGCTTCCATATTACCCAGGGGCTCATCCCGTGCATCTCCCCAAAGGGAGCTACCCCCGCCCCCCGGATCTGAGGGTCGCCGACCTCCGGTATCCCCAGTATTACCCACCCCCACCAACCCCCCAGCACAAAGGACCCTTTCGCCAAGATGTTCCGCCTTCGCCTCCTCAGCACCACAGAGTGCCAGCCTATCAGGAAATGGGCAGAGCAGGGCCCCGAGGGGGCAGCCCAGACCAGTACCCCTACCGAACCCAGGATCCCCGGCAGAAGAACCCCATGACCGCAGCTGTGTAGCCGAACACCACCAAGCCCAGCACAGCCCAGAAAGGAAGACATCCAACACCACCTTGGCCCTTCCTTCAGGCCTTCTTCCTGTTAATTCTCCATGGTACAGATTAAGTTGTTTTCACTGAGGTTGTTAACACCTGACTGCTAATCAGAGGGAAAAGGAAGGGACAAGAGTTTGGAGGGGAAATATCAGAAGCAAGAGAAAGGATAGAGCCGTAAAAATAATACTGCCTGATATTTGAAATGCTTTTAGAATGGTTCGATTCAATGAGGGCGGCATTCGAGTGGGCAAACAACAAAGGAGAGGTACTACCTGGTGCCTCCCTGGCCGGGCGACCTGCGTGAGCATGCCCGGTAGAGTTGGCAGCACTGGCGCAGACTCTGCTCTGGGTCGTCATCCATTCGGAAGCCGACCTTTGGCCCCCTTATCAAAGTTGTTAAGTCTGAAGAGTGGCTGCAAATATGGGCATCTTAAGAGAGTAATTTTTTTTAATGAGGGGGAAAAAAAAAACCAGCAAACGTGACTTGTGATCTTGAACTATTTTCTACCCAGAGGAAGACTGCATTTCTTTATTTGTAGAATTTCTCAGGTTCCTGGTACCATTCATTTGGTATTCGTGTTTCACGTTTCCTCATTTTTTTATATAAAAGATGCAAATGCAGTATTAGTGTCCTGGGAGAATGTGAAAAGTTAGTTGGAGCTTCCAGAAGGATTATATTCCAAGGACCAAGGTGATCTGGGTCAGAGGCTGAAACTCCTGGGATCCTCGCTTTTCTTCCTCCCACATCCCAGGCACAAAAGCATGGAGATATCTGGTTTCAGAGTCATCCTCAAATCTCCTGCCTGTCATTATTGTAACAGGGGCCTTTTTTTTAAGGCTCCCACTTGAGGGCTAAAGTGTACTTGAGAAAAAGAACCACGGATTATGTCACACAGGAAGCAATGCCCTGGAGGTGCCAATTCCAGACTCAGTGCCAAACAGTGCCATCTGCACCCGGGGATGGGGAGGGGCTGACTGTGACCTTTGGAGATTGATAGCCAGCAGGTAGTAGAGGGAGGTGACTGACAGATATATGTGTATATATGTGTGTGGGTGTGAAAGTGCGTGATTACCAGTGTGGAGAATGGAAGATAAAAATGTCTTCTGGAAATGTTGATGAGTAAGGGAATAATAAAGAAAAAAAAAAAAACAGAAGGGAAAGGAGAAGAGGCATAAAAATAAGTCATTCTGTATCTGCTATATTTCATTAACAAAAGTCAGGGCAAGACCAAGGCCAGGGTCTTCAATTGGAAAATGAAAGTCATGGCTTTGAAAAGCTGAAACCCCACCCTCCAAAACCCATCACCATTTCTTTTGAGCTTTGCAGCTATTTTCTACTTATTTCAACAGACCATCTAAAACTTACAACCTGACCCAGACAGAGAATGCAAACAAAAGACTGAGAAACAGTAAAACCTGGGAGCAGCAGTTTGTATTATTCAGTGACTCTTGAAATACTTTAAGCCTTTCACATTTCTTCTTCATTCCCTCCCCAAAATAAAAATGTCTTGAGTTCAGTTTAGAGGTATTTTGGCTGAGATTAGAATACCTCTGACTGATAGGATTTAATAAATTATGGTATTATTGAATATGTAGAGTACCCATCTAATCCAGTTTAGTCTTTTTTTTTTTTTTAATTTAAAATAGAGTTTTGTTACCAAGAATGATGCAACTGCTGGTTTTAGACTTAAATAGTGTTATTTACTGGACTTTAAGAGATGTCATTTTCTAAACTACAATTTACTTATGGCTCTCTTGAAAATAAACTTTCAAATAGTTTGTTGCCCTCTGTCATCTCTCTTAAGCCAGGCACCTTTACATTGTTTGCAATGTGTGCAAAGAAGTTGAGGATCTCAGGCCCTGGTCACCTAGAGATGGAGTGGAGGTGAGCTGCAGGGTATCGCCGCCAATGTGCCGAATGCTGCCTTCCCCTCAATCTAAATAAATATTTACGAAGAAAATGGCAAGGTGAGGGAAATGTAACTTGTTTTAAAGCATTAAAAATCTGCTCTCTAGTATGTTTCATTGTTTAACCAAATATCTGTGGACAAGCTGGAATGCTCCTTCTGGATTAAGGTCAAGGCCACACAAGGGGTGACCAAGGGAGGTAGTATGAAGTGAGATATCCTCTGTGTATGGGAGAAGCAGCCCTTCTAGGAAGAATGTCCATATTTTCATCACTGTTGCCACCTTGAGAGCAGAATACCTCCTGCAGGCAGGCTCAGGGTAAGCTGCTCCAAGCATGGTTTTGTTTTGTATATACGGTCAATAAAACAGTTGCTAATCCTAACATGCAGGCGATGATGTGAAGGTATATTAAAGTGGACCACAAAAAGATTATAGCAGTTTTCTTGCTTGAAGTATATAATACATGCCCCATTTGACCCTGCCCAAAAGAAGCTAACATTATATGTATGAGAGAGGACCTGTCAAGCCAAGCAACAATTAAGAACAGCTTGAATGTAAGCTTTATAAATGCCTGTGCACCTACCCTCCGCTTGTCACCACCCAGAGGTTACCGAGCTCTTTCCCAATAGTTAGGAGAACAGGTTGTTTAGAGCATTTAGAAGACCAGGCTATAATCAGTAGGTGCGTAGTAGTAGGAAATAGTTCCCGATTTATTTATGGCCTTGGAAAAACTCAATCAGGTGTCTCATTGTAGCTCAGAATGCTAATAGTCTCCCAGGAATAGACAAACGGAGAGACAAACTCATCAACATATACCCACCTGGCTCCTGATCTGACCGCTGGGTCATTTAAGCCTTGAAGTGATGTTTTGGCCTCAAGTCACTAGATATTTTAAAGCGCTCCGCTTTCATCCCTTTTTGCAGGAATAGAGAGATGAAAGGGAGCAAACCACTGAAAACTTTTTGACGCTGGAGAATTTAGTCCTCTGCAAGGGAGAGAAACACAGTATCCTGTATCAATGATACACAGTAACAGTGATACACAGTAACCTGTTGTATCACTGAGCTGTGGCAATATCACTCTTGATATAATAATTGTTTCCCCACACTATCAAACCAGTGGATGAAAGGCAAGCTCAAAGGTGAGCATTTACTTAAATCATGATTGAGTAACAAACCAAATTTGGGGAAGAAAATTACCGCGAAGTTCATTATTCATAGATTCTTAAGTCTATATGCATTGACCCCCATAGGTGAACACAGAGCAAAGATCTTATATTCAGGAGCATGGCGAGATCCCCCTGTCAACCTGTGGAGGAAACCGCACACATTGCCTGATAGGAGAGATTCGACACTTCGCTGTCGCTTGTTTTTGCCATCAACTAAATAAAATTAAAACATGATTCATTGTTCCTTCCAAAGATTCATGAACGTCAGAATTAAATCTATCTTCTGAAGGAAATCCACCTGATGGCTTTTGGAGTTGCCATGCTCAGAGGTGGTACACATAGAGATCAAGTCTATGAGTGTTTATTCTCCTAACCTGTAACCGCCACATTTATCATTATTATTATTAATTATCATTATTTTGGAGGAACATTTCAGGGGGATAGATCTGGAGAGTTTGGTGTGGAGAGGAATGTGTGTCTGTAAAATTTCCATTGGCATTAAACTCTGAAATCCACAACGAATGGCCTTCAAACCAGTGCTAAACCGGTGGGTAGACACCCTGCTGCTTTCTGAGTCCGCGAGCAACAGAAAGCCCGGATTTGGCGCAAATAGGCAGGAGGGAGTTGGATTCAGAAACAGTCCACAGCAGGATTTCTCTGCACTCCCAGTTCACGCTGGCTTTGGTGGAAATGATGTCATAATGAGACCACACAAAGAGGATTCTCCATAAGATATCCCTACAAAGTCACCTTTCTGATAAAAAAAAAAAAAAAGAATCAAAGTTAGATATCTAAAATAAGCCTAGAACCTCCTATGCAGCTACAACTTCTCAGTGAAACTCCTTCTCCCTCCTGTCCTTAAATAGTAATAGAATCACGCACAGCCTGACTTTTAAAGATGGGCTTAACTACCAAACCTAGTGGAGAGTCAACTAACCCCATACTGTCTCCTGACTCAGCTTTTTCAGAGAGTGCATCTCTGCTGCCTGCAGTGCTGTTTACTACTGGAACTTAAAAAACAAAACCTGCTGTTTATACAGCCACTTTTTCTAGTGTTTTCCTGTGCTTATATGTACCAAGTCTGTTCATAAGTTCTGAAGATAAATTATGTGGATCATATTTTGGCATATGGGGGTGGAGAATGAATTCTTTACAGATCTTTTAGGGTGATTCCATTTGTACCACAGAAAACATTTTGAATGTTGTTATATATGAATATACAAATTTTCCTTGTTTTATTTTGCATTAAAATAAAGCTTTATTCAGTCAGTGAGACGTCAGAGTGTTGGTTTCCACCCATCCCCAGTTCGTTCCAGGGTTTGGTGAACAAATAGATTGGTTCGGTCCTGCTTGCCCTTGAACAGCAACATCACAGGACAGAGGACACAAGGAATGAGTATCTGCCACATCCTGGGCTCCCCGAGAAACAGATGCTGAGACCATGATGAACAAGCAGGATGTTTATTTGGGAGTGCACTTGGGCTCAATCCTACGAAAGGCAGGGGAGGGAAACAGGAAGGGGCGGAGGGAGAAGCTGAGCTGCAATGTGCTACCAACTAAGGCCTCAGCCAACTCCACAGGGAAATCTGGAGCTATGCTGGCCCTGCAGAGTTGTCTCAAGTTCGGAAAAGGGAGCCTGGCCTTTATGCCACTGTGTTGGTCAGTGGGTATGAGCTACTCCTGGAAGGAGGTAAGATCCAGGCCCAGGCCGTTTTTTGGAGTGAGGCAATCCTAAACGAGGGCCAACAGCTGGAGGTCATTTTGGAAAGGTATTCACAGCAACTGTTTAAAATACATTTGTATTCCTGAAGTAGGATCTGGACAGCACATTACAGCATCCACAACAGCGTCCAACGCTGTTGACCCCTCTCTCATGCTAGAAACTCTCTTACCTTGTCTACAGTAACATGTTTCTGAGTTGGTTTTCTTTGAGACCATCCCTGTGTTTCCTACATTCCTTTACTGGCTTATTCTCAGACCTCCCCACAGTCTCCCTTGCAAGTTCATCCACAGCCAAGGTTTCGGCTGACATTTCTGGATAGATTTGCTCACCATCGCCAACTCAAATATGTCTCCTGAGCTTTCCGCTTTCCTACTGGACACTCCCACTCAGACTTTCCACAGGCCCTTTGAACTTAATATGCCCAAACTGAAAACATAAGCTTCTAAAGAAATCCACTTCTTATGACTCTGTCGTGGCCAATGGCACCACCATGTTCACAGTTACAAATCGGAAACCTGGATATTATCCTTGACTTCCATTTATAACTCTGCGCCTTCTCCCCAACCCATCCCCATCTGATGTGATGGAAGGCCAGCAATTCTATTCTGCAACTCTGTTCAGTATATCCACGGTTCCTGACATCCTACTGTACCTTGGCCCAGCATCATCATTTCTCATTTAGCCTCTTCAGTAACCTTCTATGTGATCTAACTGTGCTCCCTTCCAGCCCATCTCTACACTATACAGACTCACCACTTGCTTTGGTAAATAAGATTTTATTGGAACACATACACACCCATTCGCTTATATATTGTCTAGAATTCTTTCATGCTACAACGTCAACTTCTGCTCTGCACTGCCAGAGGAATTTTTCTGAAATGGAGATTGGAACATATTACCATTCTGGAGGCAGCATAGTCTTGTCGAAAAAAACACTGGTTTTGAGAATGAGCAGACCTCGATCTAAAATGAGGTTCGACCACTAAACAGTTGCATAACCTTGGGTAAAATATTCATCTCTCTAGGCCTGTTTCACCATTTGTGAAAGGGAATTATAATTCATATCTTATGGGATTATTTTGAGAATTTACTCACATCACAAGTATAGGAGTTCTGGAGCCAGCTTGAACCTACTCCCAAGAGCTAGTCATCCACCTCTCTTCCCAACTCCATGTTCAGTGATATGATGTTGGTAGTATGAAATAGGCGATGTAGGAAGAATTTACAGCACAGAAATCGGCATACCCTGAAAATTGAGACTTTTTATTCCCTCTGGAGAGTCCAGTTGTTAAATGTTTACTAGCACCCCACTGTATATAACATATGTAACCTGCTCCCAAGAGCCAGTCATCCACCTCTCTTCCCAACTCCATGTTCAGTGATATCATGTTGGTAGTATGAAATAGGCGATGTAGGAAGAATTTACAGCACAGAAATCGGCGTACCCTGAAAATTGAGACTTTTTATTCCCTCTGGAGAGTCCAGTTGTTAAATGTTTACTAGCACCCCACTGTATATAACATATGTTGTTGCCCAGTAGTGAAGGAAAATTAATCCTTGCCCTTGTAAACTTCCAGTCTCCCTCTCGCTCACTCTCTGGCTCTTGATCTCACAAACACACACGCACGCACACACACACACACACACACACACACACACACACCCCTTGAAACCTTTCCGGGTGTCCTTACTGACATCTTAAAGTCTAAAGTCCAAAGCCCTTCAAAATCAGTCCACTGTGCCTCTCCCCTCTCTTGTCTTATTACTCCTAGTTTTTTATATCTTGTGCTATTGTTAATTACAAATTACTTCTATTTATTTGAACAAGGCATGCTCTTAACAGCTCCATACCATGGCAACACAAGTAAGCACAGCTGCCCTGCTCAAAATGCCTTTTATCCTATGGATCCTTGCTCATCCTTCAGGTCCCAGATTGAGATCTTTCTCCGTGAAGACTTAAAGTCAGAAATTGGACATTGGCTCCCTCACATCCATCCCACCCTCCTGTAGCAGGACTTACTGCAGGCCAGAGGTGCTAAAGCTGAAGACCACATTTTCCAGATTGCTCATAGCTTGAGTTCCATACGAGGCCCAACTTCTACCAATCAGACCAAACGCTCTAGAAGACAGAACTGAGGCCCAAGCATGCTTTTGCTGGCAAAACACAGTAGCAGAAGCACTTGGTTGTACTGCAGAAGCACCTAGTCTAGCTCCCTGGGGGTCAAGAGGCTGTGTGAGGATCATTTGTTGTGTTAGCATGGATTACAGCTGAGGCAACGTGATTCTGCTGCCAACAGTTGGGCATTGGCTTTTTGAGGCCCTGACTTTCTGATCTTTGAAGGATAGCAACCCCAGTGGGCCAGTTATGTAATGTTCTTGTTCTGAAATTTATTTCTGGAAGCCTTGTCTAGAGCCTGCTCCTCCAGCCCTTCCAATAATTTTGCAAACACCTAACTCCCCACATTCAATCCCTTTCTGTTTGAACTAGCTAGAAGGGACTCGATTATCTGCAACTAAACCCACCAAGACACCTTCCACAGGCCTCCTCCTGAGACAGAGTTGGTAATTCCATCCTGTATGTTACCAAGATACTTTCTGCAGACCCTCAATAAAACTTTTATTACCTCGATTATAGTGATTAGTTTCCATGTCTGTGTGGCCTTCTAAGGAGTATTGTATTTGTAACACATTGCCAGGCTCTGACTCTGTGCTCAAGAAATATTTGTTGAATTCATTTGAATGAAGAAATGAGGTGTGAGGATTCTTTTTCTGAATTGCTGCACTGCTGACATTCCACCTCATAGCTCAAACCATAAATCTCAAAGTCCTGTTGTTAAAGATCGCCTGGTATTATTGTTGAGGTGAATGGCGTTAGCTCACGTGTGCAGGCCGGATTCCAATTTAAAACACGAAGGAGCCTAGGAGATTGTAAATGCAATGGATAATGCATTATTTAGAGAGTAAAGAAAGACTTAAGTAAAGGGAAAATGTATTACTTACAACCCACTAAGATGGAAATACTTTTAGTGACAGATGATTACTATTATTATTGTATAATTCCTTGGATTTTAGGCAAGTGTTTTGCAATCACTCGCACTACTTGTTCCTTTCAACAACTGTGGGTGGGTGGCGAGTTGGATGGCTCTCTGACTTTCTGTAAGGAAACTGAGTCCTGTGTACAATGGTACTAAAATAAAGATTTAATGAACACCATTTAGGCATACCCAAAGAAACTAGAGATTACTTCATAAGTGTCTTGACAATCGAGATTTCTTTTTCAGTGGCTATGTTTATTCTCATGAATTATTGTTTATAAATGTTTCATGATCACAGTAATTTTTAATTCTAATGCAGTCATAGAACATTAGGTTTATACTTATTTTACAGCTGAAGAAACTGAGGCATGAAGAAGCCAACCAGGTAATCCAGAGCCACACATGAAAAAGCTGAACTACCTTTATTAAGTATTTCTTAAGAACCTACTATGTTCTTGGCGAACTGTGCTAGCTTCTGAGTGGGCTTTCTGCAACGAGGATGGGCACTTCGCTGGCTTGCATTAGAAAGTCTATCCTTAGTGTGTGCCCAGTGAGCATCACTCCATACCTTCCTAATCACTGGACCCTCAGAGGTCATTTGTCATGGTTAAAGATGGCTTGTGTCCTCTGGAAGAGGAAGAGAGATGCTTCAGCTGTCAACATTTAACATTCAACTATTATCCTCTTGACTTGAAACTTTATTTGGCTGGTTGTTACTGACTCTCCCCACATAATCCCAAATACCTAAATTTGCTGCATAATAATAAATGTGAAACACCATTAAAAAGTAGTCTGCCTGGACCATAACGGCCCTTGACTCTGTATGTCTTATGCCTAGTCAATCCAATAAGAAGTACAAAAATAAAATGAGATTCAACTGTAGCCCAATGGATACTTAGACGCTGTTAAATATTACAAAGGATCCCAAATGTGGAAGAGCTTTGGATTCTTCCCTCAAAAACCTGAGAGATGAGTAGGAGAGAAAAACAAGTATACAAAGAACCAAAACTCAATGATGAATGTGGTGAGTGCTTTAGGGAGGTGGACAACGACAGTGA